GGCAAAAATGTCGCTTGCAGCCGTTCTTACCCAATTGAAGAGAGCGGATGGAATTCGAGAACACTCCATGTGTCTCATGCTTGAGCAACAGCGAAATTTTGCCAAACTCTTTAGTGCGTGACACAGGCGAGAAAAACCTCTCATTCTTCCCAATCCTCACTCGGACGTACTGGCCAGGGAAGCATCCTGTACAGTCAGTGGGCTGGGGCAAGGAAAAGGTATATTCGGCAATCATCTCCCCAAAAGACTTAACAGACAGCAGTTTCAAAGCAGTGAATCTGTCTGGTCTGAGGCATGGCTCATGCGCAACTCCGTCAGGTGTATCCAGGGGCTTCAACACTGCGGGAGGCTTGGTGTTGAACGGGTTTTCAAACTCTGAATCCTGGTAAGAGTCTTGGAGTTTACTATTGTGATTTAAAGCTGCGTCATCATTGTCTGCTTCAATGAGAAGTTTACGTGCAAGGTCTCTCTTCGCCTCACCGCTCAACTTCCTAATCTCGGAATTAAGAACGCGTCTGTCAGGAATCTTCAACCTAGAAGCCAATGTGATAAAAGTATATTATTCTACAAAAAGAGGAGCAAGGAGTGAAGAAGAAAAGGAGAGGAAGACGTCAGGAGACGAAGAAGAAGCAGAAGAAAAAGAAGAAGAAGAAGAAGAAAAAGAATAACAACAACAACGACAACAACATGAAGAAGAAGGAGAAGAAGAACAACCACAACAACGACATGAAGAGGAAGAAGAAGACGACACAAGAAAATGAGGAAGAAGAAGAAGAAGAAAAAAAAGAAGAAGAAGGGAAGAAGAAGAAGAAGAAGAAGAAGAAGAAGAAGAAGCTAGNGTCATCATTGTCTGCTTCAATGAGAAGTTTACGTGCAAGGTCTCTCTTCGCCTCACCGCTCAACTTCCTAATCTCGGAATTAAGAACGCGTCTGTCAGGAATCTTCAACCTAGAAGCCAACGTGATAAAAACATATTATTTCACAAAAAAGAGGAGCAAGGAGTGAAGAAGAAAAAAGGAGAAGAAGACGTCAGGAGACGAAGAAGAAGAAGAAGAAGAACAACAACAACAACAACAACATGAAGACGAAGAAGAAGAAGAAGAAAAAGAAGAAGAAGAAGATAGCCGTTATATAAAACCGCCAGGACTAAGCTCAGTTCCTTTATTTACCATAAGTCCACTGCACCAAGGCCTAAGAGGCTGGTTTTTCCAACTAGCTGTCTCAGCACCTCATTGCTAGCTCCCATCATCCATCCTGCTTTGCCATCACGTAAAAGACGTTCAATACCTGCAGTGCACATGAATAACTTTGAGTTAAAATTATGGCCAGGAAAAAAAATTATAGTCACTCTGAAAGCCTTTATAATGGCCACGATTTCGACAGGTGTGAGGTTTTATTGACGTGTCCTTTATAATTTGATAAAGAAAGTCTTTTTGTATACTGTTACCAGCTGCAGTAATACTGCCTCCTTTTCTTTTACACACAGACCTACTCAACGCTTTCTTGTAAAGCCTGCATGACCTACCCATCTCCAGATCCTAGAGAACTCCTCCATTTGACGAAGATAAGCAATGACTAAATAAATCAGGTTTGTTCAAAATGGTAGTACCTAGCGGTCTCGAGACTGGCAATATAGTGGCCCTCGGAATACAGTTAGAATTGGAGTTTAGAAATGTTGGTTTCTATGGAGAGAGGCAAGCCAGAGAGCCCGGCGGACAAAACAGTCCGAGATTCAAACCCGGAACACATTAGCTCACACTGATGGGAGGCGAGCATCTGTCATCACTGTGCTATCCTTACGTCCTTTTTCTCTTTCGTGCTTGTGCGCAAACCTACCCAGTTCTTTCTTGTAACCAACACCACCGCAAGCATGCATCATCTCGTCTGTAACGTAATTGACGTTGGCTGCAGCTTTGATTTTTACTTGGAAGCACCAGTGATGGAACTGTCCTCGACTACACCAGAAAAAAAAACAAGGGAAAACTAAATTAACTCACCGCATTGAATGTCAGTCAT